GGAAATTGTTTAGGGCTGTGGGACTAAAATAGATGCCTACAGCATTCTGTTACCTCATTCTTTGCTTTTGGGACCTAAAAACAATTCTTCCCCACTTCCCCAGGATGCACATCTATCGGGGGCCAGTTGTTATTAAGGCCACAGGAGAAAGTGCCTGTTTGAAAGGCCCTCTGTTGGATCCCTTCTGCTGCACCGCTTGCTCATCAGTGAAGTGTGACACCATCACACTCCCTTGGCTAATCCAGGACACACAGTCAGCTGCAGCAATGGAGCTAAGAGCAGTGTTTCAGGCTCCCTGTGGATCTGCAGACATGTGACAAGGGAGAGCCACAAGGGTTTGGTTTGGTCCAGCTCCCAAGAGTTACACATTCCCATTGCTACAGTGAGAATGCGCTCATGTATGACTTGATCGCTTTCTTCCAAAAGGGCATTCTGACATTTCGAGATAGGACTGTTTGTGAACTTTGCATCAGTCCCAATGCAGGGGAGGCATAGGCTGGCTCTCGGATGACAGGAATTAAATTCCTATTTTGTCTTTAATCATGGAGGCAGTGACCAAACAAGTTGACAAGTTGAGGGGAAGAGATGTGGGGAGGAAGACAAACTGTACAAGTATAAACTGGAAGATTGTTCACGTGTAGCAGGAAAAGAACTAGGGACTTCAGTAGTTGACATCTTGTTTTTTAACTGAAAATATTATTAGAAGGGAACAAACAGCTCTAATCTCTACTACTACTAAGCCAGATTATTCCTTAAAGTTTATATTTTTTACAGATTGAAGCACATGTACTCTTCACAACAAATCTTTATTATTAGTCCTAACCTACAGATGAGGAAACTGAGGTTCAGAATTCATCACCCAAACCCATCAGATAACAAAATAAGTCCTGAGCTTTGCATATGAAGAACACAAACACGTGTAAGACAAAGTTATGCCTTCCATAGTTCGTAATCTAAGTCAGAATAAACAACATGGGCAATAATTAGAAAACAAAAGATCGAGGGAGAGGAGAAAACATTTAGGACCGATATTGATCCAGGAAGTCTCCATGCAAGAGGCAGGACTTGAGTTGGGCTTTGGAAGTTGTGCAATAATTCCATTCAGGAAAAGACATGAAAATGTTCTGAGGGTGGCAAGGTTTGTTTGGTGTTTTTACACAGTTAGTACCAGAGTAGTGATTTGGACTCACTTCAGTACTCATCACTATGTTATGTCTACCCTACATTTGAAACATAGACTATTTTCTAGAGCTGCTTTAGGTTTACAGCAATATTGAGCAGTTACAGAGATCTCCCATACTACCCCTGCCCACACACAGGCATAGCCTCCCCACTGTAACATCCCACACCTGAGTAGTACATTTGTTACAATTAATGAACTTACATGACACATGATTATCACCCACTGCCCACAGTTTACATTAGGGTTCATTCATGGACAAATGTATAATGACATGTATCCACCATTATAGTATTATACAGAGCAGTTTCATTGCCCTAAAATTCCTCTGTGCTCTATTCATCCCTACCTACCCTCTAACCTCTGACAACCATTGATTTTTTTTTTACTGTCTCTGTAGTTATGCTTTTTCCAGAATGTCATATAGTTGGAATCATACAGTATGTTGCCTTTTCAGATTGGCTTCTTTCACTTAGTAATATGCATTAAAGTTTCCTCTATGTCTTTCCATGGCTCAATAGCTCTTTTTTTTTTCACTGCTGAATAACATTCCATTATCTGAATGTACCACAGTGTATGTATTCATTCATCCTGTTTGCTTCCAAGTTTTGGCAATTATTAATAACGCTTCTGTAAATATCCATGTGCAGGTTTTTGTGTGGACATAAGTTTTCAACTCCTTTGGGTAAATAAATACCAAGGAACATGATTTTTGGATCAATGGTAAGAATATGTTTAGTTTATAAGAAATCACTAAGCTATCTTCCAAAATGGCTGTACCATTTTACACTCCCACAAGCAAAGGGTGAGAATTTCTGTTGCCCCATAGCCTCACCATCATTGGTGGTGTTGTCGGTATTCTGGATTTTGACTACTATAATAGGTGTGTAGAAGTATTTCATTGTTGTTTTTAAAAAACATGTTTTCTATCAACCCGTCTTTTTTTTTTTCTTAGCCAGGGAATTGTCTCTTTTTTTCACTTTTCATATAGATTGTTCTGCTGCTTTCTTTTGTCTAAGGTGATTTCACTTTTTGATTATTGATTTTTGTTGCCAGTCTTCCTTAGAAATATTTTCCTTCATATGTTTTGGAAATTTACAGAAAAATGCATAAAATATCTATGTACAGTTTTTAAAATAATGATATAGTCAGACTTATTATAACCACCACTGGCTGTCTTCCGTATTTTTCTCTTTAATATATTTTCTCTCTCTGTCATGTGCTTGGAGTAGTGGGACCCCTAAGATAGGAACCTCCAATACCATTTTGACAGAGTGCACCTGTCCACTCTAACAGCAGGTGGTGCTCCAGAGACCTTTGTGAGTTCCTTTGCTAAACTGCTAAATTCTTTGGGTCCTAGGATTCCCTGATCTCTTGGGGGTTGTGTCTTTGATATTTACTTCACCTCCTGACTAGGTGTGATTACCATTATTGCCTTTTCCTCCAGTTAAACAATTATTAGCTCAAGATGTTTACAGTTTTTTCTCCTGACAACAGCTTGTCAATTCAAGCCTATAAACTCTCTCTATATTCCACCTGTAAGAAAAGACAGGATTATTTTATATATTGGGTCTATTGCCCCAGTACCTAAGGCCAAAGCTTTCAAAAATCGTGGTGCTCCAGAGACCTTTGTGAGTTCCTTTGCTAAATTCTTTGGATCCTAGGATTCCCTGATCTCTTGGAGGTTGTGGTCTTTGATATTACTTCACCTCCTGACTAGGTGTGATTACCATTATTGCCTTTTCCTCCAGTTAAACAATTATTAGCTCAAGATGTTTACAGTTTTTTCTCCTGACAACAGCTTGTCAATTCAAGCCTATAAACTCTCTCTATATTCCACCTGCAAGAAAAGACAGGATTATTTTATATTGCCCCGGTAACTAAGGCCAAAAGCTTTCAAAAATCTTTCAGAAGTGTGTGTGTGTGTGTGTGTGTGTGTGTGTGTGTATCCCAAAGTATAATGATAAAATTGTAACACTGGAGTGGATTTTTAATCATCTTCAAAATTAACATAATGTCATTGTTCAATTAGGATTATACACCTTTTACATTTTGTAGCAATTCGAGGTTAGATGTCTTATTTCACAAGAATAACTGATCATCTACAGGTGCCAGAAATCATCGCTAACTGTAAATTGTATGAGTTATTTTGGATAAAACATTGTGTGTGTGTGTGTGTGTGTGTGTGTGTGTGTGTGCGCGCGCGCGCGCTGATGCACATGAGTGTGTGTATCCCAAAGTATAAAGATAAAATTGTAACATTGGAGTGGCCGTTTAATCATCTTCAAAATTAACATTATGTCATTGTTCAATTAGGATTATACACCTTTTACATGTTGTAGCAATTCGAGGTTAGATGTCTTATTTCACAAGAATAGCTGATCATCTACAGGTGCCAGAAATCATCGCTAACTGTAAATTGTATGAGTTATTTTGGATAAAACATTTTCAAGTGAAAAATTTTTTGAACCTTTCTTTCCAACAACAAATAATAATGATAAAAGGCCTGGATATAACTTAATGTGTTTGATGTGGTGTGGCGCTAGACTCCCGGAAATCGATTTTTACAAGAGCCTTATGAGCTGAAATGAGACATAGACTAAGGAGAAGGCAAGAGAGAGGACAGAGGGTCCTGGGGGGAAGGAGATGCGGTGCTGTCGCAGGCGCGGAGGATGCAGGGGTCCCGGTCCCCGAGGAATCGGGGTGCTCCGTGAAGCACCGTGCGAAGTGATGCTGAGGCCCCGTGCGCCCGGCGGTCCAGGGTGGCGCGCACCCCCGAGGGAACAGGGACTGGGCGGGCTTCCCGAGGAGGTGGCACTGGATCCGAGAGGGGAAGAGGTGGGGAGAGACGACACGTCTAGAGACCGGCCCGGGGAGGGACAGGAGGAAGGGCTCGATGCGCTCGGCGCTCCGCCCTCGGGCGTCGACTGCTAGGGCCTGAGCGCGGTCGCCGCCCTCCGCGGGTCCTGTCCCTCCCTCCCATCCCTCCGTACCGTCCCTCCCCCTCTTCCCCCTCCTTCCCCTTTTCCTTCCCCAGCGCCTCTGCCGCCCGGCCCAGGCTGCGGGTCTCTGG